GGTTGGGAAAGAGCAGGTTGCTTATAGATAAAGAATGTTTGCTTACAGATCAGAGGTGGGCCTGAGCTGATGTGGAACTGAGCTTGAAAATATTTGGGTGGTTTGTATCCAGGCCTGTTGCTACAGGGCTACAGAAAAGGGGAAGAATTTGAGAGAAATGGATGTTCTTTGAAGCTGGAGGTTGGACAAGATAATTTCTTGAGACCTCTTCTAGCCCCCATTTTTGATGGGTGGTAAAAATGTTGGAAATAGGTGTCAGAGTGAGGGGAGAAAATGAGAACTCGCTTATTTGCAATGCAGCCTTTTATGTTACACTGCGAATGTGCACCTGTGTTTGCCCAGTGTATACAGAGTAAGAGTGGCGTAAAGGAATCTTAAAGTGAATATTAGAATATGAACTTGAATAAATAGTAGTGTAAAGACAGATATTAAGGCAAACAAAAGTAATGCCCTAAGACCAAATTTCTTTATTAGGAAACAAGTATACCTCTCATTGCTTTTAGGAAAATTCCCACAAACACATCTGAAGCTCAGAGGGCAGACTTTCTCCGGGCAGGCATATCCAGAATAAAATACAGGTGGAGTTAGTAAAGATAGCTAGTGATATTTGAGTAAATGTAAGTATTCTTGGTTATATCACTGACTCAGAACTCACATTACTGACAGACATTTATAATCTTGAATCAAAGCATGACAGGGGAAGAAGAAGAAAAAACAGGTTAGGGGAATGGGAATTGGGCAAGATCAGAAAAACAAGATTTTGTATAAAATCTGACAATGATTCGGGAGAGTTTATTACCAAACATGACCCTGGTATCTTACTGTAACTTTTTTGCAAGAGGTTGTTACTTATTTTCACAGTGGCGGGAATGTCCAGCAGTGCAATCTCTCGGTGTCTTTGCAGTTTGAAGAGAAAGCCATATGGAAAGGTATATTGAAGAACTGGGGTAAAACGTTTAAAAGCTGAAGAAAAAAGAAGAAAGGAGGTATAAGCAGCAAAGATTTCAAGCAAATGAGCAAAGGTCCATTAATAACCAGAGGTAGAAACAGTGTTTAGAAAGTGTTTAGAAAAGGTTTATCTAGTTCCTTTCATAGCAATGGGTTAACAGAGCTTCCTTCTCACTGTACGTTTTATCCTTTCTTGCAAACACTGCATTCTGCAGGCTACCTAAGGAGCTCTTGGCCTAGAAGAAGCAGTGTGTGGTAACACCATTTCCACAAATACATCGTTTTAAGAAAAGCTAGCCATACTGAGCCTTTCAGTAGTGTCATCTTCTTCTGTTCTGGCTCCCCACCAGATTTCTGTTCACTTTATCCAAATTTCTGTATTGTGGCAGTTGAGCGGTGTCATTTGACATCTTAGCTAGATCTGTGCAAATCTGAGTGCTAGTCTGCAGACAGTTTTCTATGATCGTAAGTAAAACAATCTGTGAAGTAGACATAGTTAAAACACCACAGACTCATACTGCAAGCAGAGCTGTAATCATGTAGAAGTACCTTATGTGAGCACAGCCCATTCCTGTAAATTAAAGGAATAAGCTATAGTAATACAGACACAGCTATCCTCTTTAACTACCTCCACACTGCGGGCTTTGTCTATCTATTTCTAAACAGACCTGGATACAGAGGCACCAGAACTGTGACTGCTGTGGTTTACCTCCTGCATTTCTTTTTTCTCCACTGAAGCATCATGTCTGGCTCTGTGATCAGCCAGACGGGGTCACTCCAGTGAATCTGATAGCTTTTAAGGGGAGGACCTGCTCTCTGCATTAATGTAATTGCAGGTTATTTGTGAGATTCCTTCCATGTCTTACTTCCTGAAGGCCTGGCACAGAAATCCGGTCTTGTAATTTGAGTACTAAAGAGTGGCTGGATGTAATTATGTGCTCCATTATTTCAGCAATCTCTGTAGCACAAAAAGTAAAAGCTCAGTGTTGCCATTAGTACTGAAAATTCACAAGTTGGTACATAATAACTATCTTGTGCAGGCAATGTAGTGGGCAGTGTGTACACAGGTATGACTTCAAGTTTAAATAGCGTCTATTTTGTACTGTTTATAAATGTTTCCAGAAAGAGACTGGCGAGATTTCTAGTTATGTGCTCATTATATCTCTCTTGAAGCCACAGATTGTACAGAAAATGTATAATAAATAAGCCTTGACAGTAGCAATAGGTACCTCACTAAAGCCTTCCAGAATTTGGGGGCAGCATAATTTACCTTTTTGTCAGATGTCATTTTGATTACCATAAACAGGGGGAATGTGATGTACGTGCTCAGACCTACAGACAGATTGATCGGCTGCAGAACAAAGGTAATTGCAGCTGAACATTTTGTCTCACAGCAGCCGTACGCTGCCTGTTCGGCTCTGTGAATGGTCTGGTCACTGGAGTTCTGAATGGGAAAAGGCTGCTGTTAAATAAAGGCACAGGAAAGAGAGAGTATTCTTGCAAGACCTGAAATTTAAGCCTATATCCAGACATGAACAGGAAGTACATATCCTAATTCAGTAACACACTGTACGTTAAAAATATGCATTGTAGAATTTGGGCTATAAATTCTGCTCTTCAGTCAGACATCCTGTGCTATGATGGTAACAACAGTTTGTACTCCCGCAAACAGAAAATTATTACATTAAAGATTTAAAGCTCACAACGGCTTTGACTACTGGTTATTATTAGCATTGTTTCATAGATGAATACACCAAGCCAGACTGAAGATCAAGGATTTACCAAAGTTTGTATGGAATAGTCTACAGAAGAACAAAAACTCCTCCAGAGCCAGAGTCCAGTACTTCAACCTAGGGACTATCCCTTTATCCCACTGAGGCTGGTGGTAGGAGCTTCACACACAGGGTGCTGAATTACGTGGTTTCTGGATACTCTCAGTAGATCTCCTTAGCTGGTGCGTCACTTCAGGCCAGAATCCGCCTGTAGGGCACACTGCTGTGGGAAAACACATTGGTTGTGAAACAGTAACTCTCTCAGGAAGGCAGCAAACGTTAGTAACATTCCTGCAAAAAAGCCCTGCATGGTGCCAGCTGTAAGCATCAGCGCCGTATGTTGTTCACCAGGGTAATGCAGATGGAAGAGGACTGTGTTTCCTCTGTCTTCTTTGCTAATGCCCAAGGTTCTGAAAGCCAGGCTGGCTCCTGCTGGGGGGGAGAGGGAGGATGTGGCAGCAGCTGTTCTGGGAGGTGGCCTGTCTGGGCAGCTGCGTCATCTCCCCAGGTCTTCCCTTCTCAGCTGAAACTTTTCTGTCTACTGCACGGGCACCTGATTCGTCAGGCAAAACCTGTGCTATGTGACAGGCCCAGTGTCACTCGAGAAATGGCAAAGCATCTGCTGCAGATACGCAGAAGAGCAGCCCCTGCAAGAGGAGGGGACTCTGTCATATGCTGCTGCTTCACTGGAAACAGAAACCAGGGCTTTGGATGAGCAGTCGGTCCCGCAGCTGGTGTGGTAGAATCGATGCCGGATGTAATGCCTTGGCATCATGTGATAGTGCCTCGTCAGGCACCGATGCACTGTCGTGCAGTATAAACATCCTGTGCCACCAAACACGGTTTACAGTGCAATCAGAAGGCTGAAAGCAGGGTTGGTAGGAATACACAAGGCAGCGTTGTCAAGTGGTAGATCTTAATGATATACTACCTTCCATTGCTATAGTAGTAAATAAAAAATGGGTAAACTCACTTTTCGTTGCTACAGCGTCCAAATTAGAAGCTACTAATTAGTGTTTATCCTCACTTATGCTGCTAAGCTCCAAGCGTACATTCTTCTAGAGACAATTCAGCTGTTCTCTGAGGATCTGGTGAAGAGGCAGTTTTCTATCGGGAAGGGCTCTGATCTGGGAGCCAGGAGACTTGACATCGTACTCATGGCTGTGTTACTGACTTGCTGCATGACCACTGAGTCAGTCATACCAGCTTTCCGTGCTTCTGTTGCCCTCTTGACTTTTGCCTGTTTCATCTTTTAAGGTTGCAAAGAAGGGATTTCTTTTTAATCTGTATTTGTACAGCACCTCATATAAAAGGATCTAGGTTTCAGTGGGAGTCCTTACAAGCTACTGCAATGCAAACAGCACATCGTATAATAAAGAGCTGTGTTACACAATTTTGGTGTAAGGGTGATAAAGCCTCCACGTGGAGGCTGGGCAGACTTACTCGTGCTCAATTTATGTCTGTGCAGCTTCTAATCTTCAAACTGCAATTAGAATCTCTTCCATGTTAGTGTGATAAAGCCTTCTATATCACAAGACAGCTCAATCAATGCCCTTTTGGTCTGTATTTGAAGGTTGTACTACCATGACTGTGTCAAGAAAGGGTGTAATTTTTTTTTTTTTAAACTTAGATCAATGTGCCAGTGAAAGTTCTGATAAAGATACAGCTGCACAGCTGTAAAAGTGCACAGGACTGCATAATATTTTTGCTTTTCAGAAGAGGACTTTTATAGCTGTATAACTATTTCTGTATATGGAAGGACAAGATGAATTGACCACTTCAGTTCTGCCAGTCTAACACAGCAAAATATTTTAAGTGCAATTCCATTACAGGACTAAGCTGGGGGAAGCTCGTGCGCTTCACAGGTGTAACCTTGTCTTTTCCTTTCTTTTCCTTTCCTTTCTTACTGAGCTAGGAAGTATTTTTCCCTCTTGCCTTCTCTCTCCTTTCTTTAGGAGCTGGCTTTTCCTGTCATACTACATACTCTCGAAAGAGCTTGGCATTTTTCCCTGCCCTTTGCAGCTTTGGAATGCTTTCTTCCTGTTTCTCAATCCCTGTTACGACTGCAAGTAAGGCAGAGGTGGTGTCTTTGTTTCACTGCTGCTTTTAAGTCACATGATGATATTTAGGAAATCTGTGGACCTGCAGTGCTGCAAGACTACACCCATAATGAAAAAAAGATTACAAATGCAAAATGGGTTAATGACTGCCCAGATCCTTAAAGGGTCAGGTTCAAGTTTAGGGCAACAATAGCTACTAGTGGCCAGCGATTTGATTCTCCAACATTTTCATTGCCCATGTGGCCAGATAATTAAAAAAAATAATAAAAAAAGAAAGACTGGACCTATGTTTGGATACCAGCTGAGAGTTCACCAGGAAAGTGCAAATGTAAACATGGTGTTCACAAGAGGGCCACGGCTCTGGGGTCCTTCACAATGCCAGGTATACTGTTACTTTAAGGATTAAAAATAATTAGGTGCCCACTGTTCTCAGAAATAAAAAATACCCCTCAACATGTCCAACAGATCCTTCCTACTATCCTTTTTCTTTGTGGCTTTATCTATACAAAAGAAAAGATGGTAGAAGATGATACCGTAGGCCTCTGCGTTGCTTCCTAGAGTTTATATAAGGCTTTACTATGAGGTAGCAGGCAGGCAGTTAATTATTACTTTATACTGAGGTCTTGACATTAGTGCCAGTCAGGTCACTATTTGCCATTGATAAAAGCATTACGCAGTGCCAAGTATAGCAATGCTTCAAAGCCAGTAGCAAAAATAGAACCCCTGGTTGCTTAGCAAGTATCTGTAAATTTAGCAAATACCCATTTATCCATCTATCTGTCTGTCTGTCTATCTATCCATCTATCTATCTATCTATAACCAGGGTAAAGGATGACCCTCAAGTCTAATTAATTTCAATGGGGTTAAAGTTCACCTTCCTATGTTTCTCCTTACAGATTTTCAAGTAGTAGTACTGTTACTTTCCTGTCCTAGGTAAGCTTCATTCTCAATTTTCAGCTCCATTTAACAGCAGCTCTAAGACACTGCAACTGAGGACTCCATGCTGTTTGGCATTCTTTGGAAGTCCAGCAAACCAGCGTGTGTTGTAACCACAGGGCAGTGCCATATATCATCCATTCAAACCGCTTCGTGTCTATTTCAAATAAGCTTTTTAAAAATTTTATTTTAGAAAAGCTTGTGTGGGCTTAAGCAGCAGTTGAAATTAAATAAGGCAGCATAAGCTAATAGCATGACTCATGGGAAGGAAATTGAGCAGCAGTTGGTAAAAACTGTTCGGTAACAAAGAGTCTTTATATTCATAAATTCATACAGGCTAACATGAGGCTTACAAAAAAAATGTTGTTTAAGAAGTAGAAAACTAAATTCTGGTCTTGAGATTCTCCCAGTTCTTAAAGACTTATCTTTCCATCAGAGACTTTCCTTTCCCTTTCAGTCCCTCTTGTACACCTGACTACTTAAGATGAGAGAGGAGGAAAAAAAGGCAATCTTTGGTGAATGGGCTGGTCCAGTGGCATTTCTGCATGCTGCACAAGTATCTGTGTTTAAAGTAAGTTAAAACAACAGTACAGATACACCAACTGTGAATTTATGCAGATCTTTGCTAAACCATTGACTCATACCTGTAGAAGTAAATTATATGTTTCTGATACCAGCCATTTTGTCATTACTGAATAGAGCAGGAGTGCAGTATGAATGCTATTGTGTCAGCAGAGCTTAGACCTTGGACACTGCAACAAAAGACATACTTTATTGATGTGCTGATGTTACTGAATCCAAATCCTGGCTCTGAGACTATGTGATTATAATGTAAAATCAGCTGATCTAACTAAGAAATAAGTCCACTGAAGTTAATGGAAATTACACAGGGTTTTATATAGTGTCAGGGGAAAAAAAGTATCAGGCCCAGTCTTTTATTGTGCAAGTTGAGACTGGTTTTAATTTCACAGTTCATCTGAGTGATGGGCATTCATCTGTGACTTGTTGGGTAGGTTTGTTTGGGTGTGAGTAGCCTTTGGCACAGCTGATCACGAGGCACTAGCAAACTTTATGAAGACAAGGACTCAGGCAAATAGAATATGATTTTACGAAGAATCCTGCCTGGTGAAGTAAGGATAAGGCATTACCCAGAAGGAGCATTGCTTACAGTGGAAACACTGTGCAGGTTACACCCTGCAGAACGCAGAGTAGATGGAGACTGTAAGCAAGCTGAAAGGAGAGTGAATGTGTATCGTCCAGCAAAAAACAGACAGGAAGAGCTTACATGTTGCCAGGTGGGTCTTGCTGCAGGAGGATGTACCCTTAGCAGGTTAGCTGGCTTTGCTACCAAGTGAGAGAGGTGTGCAAATGTAACAGATTTTGCTTAAAAGTCATCAGACAATAATGCTGACAGATTTAAGAGGGATGTTCTTAGATGGATACACACATAATGCTTGAGAATAGGAACATGCCTTGCAGGAGTCAGTGGGTGAATTTACTAAATATGTAGGAATATGCAGTTTCTGGGAAGGGCTGGAAGGATGCTGGATGCTCTAGCAAGAGCAATGTTCAGAAAAATTCTTTATGTGAGGTCTACCATATCTTACAATCTGCATTCAGGTAATAAGACTTAGTGCATTGCTACAGAATGCAGAGTATTCAGCTCTAAATGGGAATGTATCTTAGGGATGCTCATAAACAGGAGAGCCGTGAACAGCAAAGGCAAAAGGCTGCTGGAAAAAACCAAAACAGATAAGAAAGAACACGTACCATGTAGTGTTTCCTAATGAAACAGAGTCAGGGCCCCAAATAGAAATTGACGGACTGGAAAACCAAGACTGCTTTCCCTGGGGAGCCGTTTGTGTAAGCAGTTAAAAGGTCCCAAGCCACAGACACAGTAACAACAAAGATAACGAGTATCATTGGTCATTACACACAGACGACCATATGCTATAGCCACCTGAAGCTTTGGCTAGAGGCAGCTGTCCCACATTGCAGTAGCACACAGCAATGTAAGGTACAGATAAAGATTAAAAACATAAAAAACAATTAATCAGAGCGCAACCAAGAGAAGGAGGTAAAAGTTTGTGTTATTTATAGTAGCATCCACTATAGGAAGTTAATGAGGAGTTAATCTGCACCTTCCCAGTAACAGAGCTGTGATATCTGCAATATTCTTGATTTGTTATGAAGGAGAAAAGCAATAGTGAAGTGTTTCTGTGCCATTAGGAAGTAAAGTACAATCACTTCACCTGCAAGACTGAATCTAATGAAAACACCTTACAGTGAAAGAGCACAGGAGGTTCATGACTGGTCTGCAGCTCTTACTGCATTTTTGTCGCCCCTGGTCTCATCCCAGTGACACTCCAGACCTCCAGCTTTCTTTCTGTGACTAAAACTCCTGTGCCTTTCTATGAGATCACCCAGAAAAGAAGTCAGAAAATATCAGTCAGTACTGAAGTCCCAAGGCCTATCTGGTTTTCCTCTCCTATGAAATCTCTCCTCTTTTTGACCCCTGTTGTATGATAAACGAATAAGGACTCGTAAGGGAGAGGAAGTGATAATCTTGAATTATCCTTTGGGGCAATGTGATATCTAGGCTGAGCTGATTAGTCATCCAGAACAATTAAAATATTGCTTTATAATATTTAAGTAACTTAACCTCTGCAAATGACTGTAATATCTGGGAAAGGCATTGCTTGCTAGGGGAAGAAAAAAGTAGATACGCAAAATGATCTCATTCCTCTGAATGATCCCTAAACACATACACTGGGAGACATTGTGATCAAACAAACTTCAACTAGGATTTGACAAAGAGCTTGTTTATACCTCTAAGGCAAAACGGCAGACACTAACTTAATATGTCTTTATCCACTTCAGTGCATGGCATAAGCCTCAGTTTCAGAAAATATTCTGTTCCATTAAGTTCCTTTAGAATATCTGAGCTCTTATGACATCTTGATAATGGACTATTTCTTTGTATCAGACCAAGTATCAGGGATTAAACTCCTGGTGTTTTGCATCCAAATGAGATTTCTACTGGAACAGAAATATTTGCATTTAGAAATTGATTGTGTGAAACAATGTGCTACATTTTTAATTATCCTTTGCTGATTAGACTTTCCAGGATAAAAGTTCCAGTGTGAATATTTTGTATAGAATCTCTCATGTCTTTAAAGTACAATCCATCATTCTGTGATTACTATTAATCTAGTCAGATCATTTGCTTGCTCTGCTTATATTTAACAGATCCTATTGCAGTCAGGGAGGAATTGGGAAGCAGAGAATACAAAATAAAATCCATGGCTTAATCTTTCAGAAAAAGTTTCTTCACATTTTGAAATCTATCCAGCACGTCAGATAAGTCAATAAGACACATATCATGGAAAGAGTACAAAAACACCACTCATTTATCAAACAGAAAGAAATACAGACTATTTTCCTCTTCTCTAGTTAGTTCAAACTTCAGGGATTTTCGTGGCCTCTAATGCCCTCTAATGGACAAATCTGTTGGAGCAACATCCTCTTGGAGACGGTGCAAAAGAAACAAGTCGAGTATCTCAATGGAGAAGGAGCTGTAGCACTGCCAGTGAAGCTGCACAGCTTTCATTGGGAGCCTGCCAGCTCTTAGATGAAAACCCATGTTTAAGGCGTTTGTAGCTTAGAAATATTAAGTCACCTCTTAGCAAAAACTTGGCAGATCCTTTCCTTCCTCCCTTCCTTCCTCATTTACTTAAGTTTGTTTGTTTAGCTTCACTTAAGAACAGTAGGAAAATATTTTTGACGCTGATCCCAGATTTGGCACATTTCCTCCAGAATGATACCCCATCCATCAGGAATTGAAACTAAACATGTGCCTACAGAGGAATGCCTCCGTAAGTGGTGGTAGGTTTCTGGATCAAAGCTGATAAATAGAAATTAAAAAGTATCACTTAGCATATTTGAGCCACTGCTGGAGTGTTTGACAAATGCCGGTGAAAATGAGAAAGTGGGGTGGGAGGAATGAAGAGAAGGAATCGAAGTATGAAACAGAGACTTCAGGAAGTAGTAAGAAAAAAAGATAGGTTAATAAATAAATAATTGGAGTTGAAAATACAAAGTAGAGAAAAGTAAAAGATAAAGATGTGGGAGAGGAAAAATCCATATTCTCTGGCAAGAAGCCAAGAGAAGTGTCACCTCCAAGAGGCGACATTTTTCAGGCATAATAAAAAAGAGGCCCAGATCTCCTGACTAAATTGTAGGTGATATCTAGAAACTACCTAAATCTTAAAGGGTAAAACACATAGGAAAGAAAGGAAATGCTTAAGGGCTTCTAGCTTTAAAGGGAATTTTATTGGAAGTTGTGTTGTTAAATGATGCTATCTAACAACATTGGATCAACACCTTTACTCTGGAGTAAAGGACAAAGCGAGTGAGTTGAGAATTAGTGTGGATTTTACTACAGATCTGGCCAGGTTCCCTATCCTCTTACTCAGGCAAAAAGCAGAAGTGCCAGAATACCTCCAAGGAAGTGATTCAAGTGGCACTTTTTGGCTTGACATCGGTGTCTGGAAATTTCATGAGAGGGATTGTTTCCACATAGATAAATTTCCAACTTGTACTTCTAGTGGCTTGGCTCTTCAGGTTTTAGGAGGTCTAAACCTATGCTGAGAGGGAATAGAGGACATAGCAGGGACTTTCCTCTTACGTGTGACTCCTACCACTAGTGCCACTTTTGACAGCCACAAGGGGAAATTTTTAGTGAGGAAAAACCATTGGCATTCACACTAAAGCCTGACAAGACTTTGTGGATGCTTAGGCTGTAATTTCTTATTTTAGTTTACATATAAGCTTAAGGAAGTGCATTAAGAAGCTCTTGCTAAAATGTCTTCAAAAAATCCACCAAAATAACCAAGAAGCATGAGATTGTCAAGAGCTGCTAAAGAAATGGTACCACAACTCAGAAGTCATCTGGAGCTAGGGAACTTGGAATGATTTATCTTCAAATAATATTTAACTAGCAGTTATAAACTGTCATGTGTCTGCATGTTGAAGGACAAAATCATGTGGCTTTTCATGTATCCAACAGACAGGGTCTAGCACAAAAATTAGTAGTAGAGATACTGTGTTTTTTTCTAGGATAGCAGATCACTTCTAGGATAGTGGGTTTCAGGGCACTTTGTATTGAACCTAGAAAGAAGAGGAAAAAATTAAAAGGAAGCTGAGAGCATTGGGAAAGAACGATCTTGACCAAATACTGGCTGGAATTTTCCAAAGAGTTTGGGGGAAACACTGTGAGAATTTCCAACATCACCGTTCAACCTCTGAAGTTTCCCCTCATCTAAAATCTGGGAATATTACAGCAAGTTGTGTTTGCTTTTAGGGAACAGATTTGCTTTGGGAAAAACACTATGAGAAACAGGAAGAAGCACTGTTTGTTTTGTTTAGTAAATTTTGAAGGGAAGAAATAGCCTGTCTTTTTCTCCCTAAGCCAAGAGTTCCCAAGATGCTTCTCTCTCAGCTAATCTTATCATCCCTGATTTCTTGCTGGCTTTTGGAGACATGTTTTTTATGAACGTATCAGTAAGCTGAAGCCCTTTCCGGCCCCCTACATGAATTATTATTGTTTAGATTTTGGCAGAATGTGGAGATCCCTATGAAGATTGTGGCTGTATTGCCTTAAGTGGATATTATTCCTGCCTGATTGCTATGGGATACTTAGAAGTCAAATATATAAACCATTGAAAAAGGAGATTTGACAAAGTCACGGAGGAAGGGCCCAGCAGGAGTGGTTCAGCCTCCAGCAATCCCAGAACCGCTGTCTGCTGGGAATTTGAAAGGTATGTCAGCGGAGGGAGTGCTCTGCTTGCACTGCTGTGCTGTATAGGCGCTGTCTGTAGGCATAGCAATAGGCTTGCCGGAAAAAATGGGTAACTCTTCTGAGGCATGCCTTCTTATCTATCATCAGCAAAATAAGCCAACTTAGTTCAAGCCAGTGAGGAAGGTGAGGATGAGATAAAGCTGGTTGGCTTTGCCTGCACGTGGAGGAGGGAGTCTTCACGCAGTCCCTCCCAGTGGCAGGGGCTGGTCAAGGACAAGCAGCGATCCCATCTCCAGCCAAGGCAGCGTTGGCAGAGCACCTATGTCTGTGGCCTGAGTTTGGCCTCACTCACTCCTCAAACCAGTTTTAGACTGGTTTTAGAGCTGACATTTCAAACGGTGAGACCCCTTCCAGACAGAGCTGAGCTGGCCGCAGATGTTATAATTTCCAGCTGTTTGTCACTGCCCCTCTGCCAAACGCTACTGCTCCTACTTC